ATAACTAAGAAATTATTCAATGCTAAAATGTTACTAATAATTCAATTTGGAAACTCTAAATAATATTCTGTAATATCTCGAAGCAGACCAAAACGGATTCATTCTCATTTTAATTAATTTTTAACAAATGCTAGAGGGATGAGAATATAAAGTGCTTGTGATGAATACAACTATTAATTTGGTGATAATTGAAAAAAAATAACAGGAATAAATAAAAAAGGGATTCTAACATTTTTTACTTCAAGATTTTATTACCTTTCTAAATTTATGCTGAGCATATTGTTAATCAAGGGTGCTGCTACATATTGTGCTAATGGGAAATGTAATTGATTAGTTTAAGAAAATTCTCTTTATATTTTTCTCTATTTTCATATTATAAATCTAATTTATTTACCTATATTATGAAGGGTGTGCTAATTATTAATGGTATATTATAGTTCCTATGATATACCATTGATATCAATGGGTAATTTTTACTTTAAATTTACTTTGAGAATAAAAATCATGTTTTCAAATTTTTTATTCCTAAATTATTTCAATTTTTATATTAATTAAGGAGTAGTCAACTTTAATTTCCAAGACGTACCGTAACTATACCATAAAATATGTATGAATGTGTGTAAATGGAATATAAATGGTAAAACTTAAATATATAGTCCTTGATTGTTACAGGGCGTAGCAAAAAAACGTTCGAAACATAAAAATATTTCCATTATATATGTAACAGAAGATAAGTATAGAATTTTTATTGCAATTATTCTGAATTGCATTTTCATTTCCGATTACTTGCATAAATCGGTGTATAACTTCGTTTTATTATTTTTAAAATCCTATATTTTATGTAGGTAATAATGGCAATGCATTCATTTAGTCCTAAGTAAAATTTTCTTTATACTTTTTTTCTTTATATTTTTTTTTTTGCATTCTAATAAAATTGAAAAATGTTCTTTTTAAATTAAAAATGAATCGAGTTCATATATATGGATGTATGTATGTATATAGAAACTGACCTATACATAATACATATTGGCATATTATATAGAAAGAAAACCTTTTATATAACGGACTGTAATACAAAGTGTCATATAAAATGGGTAAGTCTTAAAGGAAATTCATGTTATATGGGAAGGTAAAATTGTAGTCTTCAACATAAAATTAAATTATAAATGTGTTCGAGTGTAGGTGCTTTACAATATTTCGCTTCATGATCATTTTGTAGAGAAAATAATTTAATATCCTGCAGAAAAGGATGAACTTAATTTTCGTTTTTTTTTTTATTTTGGACAATTTTATTAAACATGCTACATTATGCATTTAGGAGATTATAAAATATTTTTAATAATTTATTTGATTCAAGGTAGTTGAAAAATTTTAATTATTAAAATTAATTAAGAAAATTGCACTTGTATAATGTTCAAAAGTACATAAATGCAAATTAGTGGAACTAATTGAAAATTTTTAGTTTTGCTTAATTTTTAATAATTTGTGCAAATGCATAAGTCAAAGTGTGACCAAAAATCGATTTAATCCATTTTTCCTTACTTAAAAAGTCGAAATGAAAATTTTTCCGAAATTATTTTCACGTTGTTGCAATATATAAAATCTGATGTGGTCAGCACATAACCGACCGCAATATGCATTGTCTAGTTAAGTGAAAGTGTTACAGAATACTATAAAAATGCCTGTTATATACTTCTTTCCAATTTTTAGGACATTAGTAAGCTTATAGTTAACATACCTAGAAAAATAAAAATGTAAATTTGAGCCTGAGTAGAGTTTCGCTTTGTACTATCCGAATTCCCTGAAATGCTTGTCAGTTAGTCTCGATACAAACCAGAACTCAAATATCAAATTTCAAGAAATTCCATTAATTCGTTCCGTAGATATGATAAAAAATGTAAAATTGGCCCCCCGAATCAGTTTCCGAGCCTTGATCCTTCTAAAAAATGTATATGTACATTGGTTTAATACGAAAAATTTAAATATTAAATTTATATACGTAAAAATGTATATTTGGCCCATAGTAAACGTCCAGTTGCAACGCCTTATTTCTGCCAAAAGTATGGAGGCTTCGCGCACGGTCGAGCGAAGCTTATATATTAAATTTCAAGTAAATCTGTTGAATATTTTCTTCATAATGATCATTCTTCATAATGTAAAACGGGTCCGCTAAGTGCAGTTCCGTGCCATAGTCGAAATAAACTTACACATTATAAAATTTCATCAAAATCGGTTCAGCCGAACTTGAGATCCACGCGTGCACACCGACAAACCGACAGGTTGCTAAAAATAGTTTATTTACACTTCCCTACCATGGAAAAGTGCGTTCCCACCGAAAACTCGATATTCAAAATTTGTTGCCATCACATAACCTACCTATTGTATAAACAATGCGGTCGCTAAAAAGCAAAACTGACCGTGCCAAATTTGGCGATCAAATAGCTATTTTACTGAATAAATCTTTTCAAAACAAAATAAAATGAAAATAATAATTTTCACTTTTTAGCATTTGTTTTTGTTGTGCAAAAAATGCAAATTCTTCAATTATAGCCCACGTTACTATATTTGGATGTCTGAAGCATTTGAGAAGTTTTTGATAGGATGCTTGTCCTCATAAAAGTAATTTATTTTTGTCTGTTAGGATTTTTCAGCGTTTCATATCTGTTATCGTGACACGTTTGAAGCTTGGAGTTAAAAAAATTTAAAGTGTTTCGAGATAGCTTTTGGTTATTATTTATTCAAATGAAAAAGTGTATTGGGAGAGGAGAGGAAAAGATGGTAAATAACGATCAAGGTAACATAATGTTCATTAGTTTGCGCAACAATGAAAAACTACCTGAGATTCTTTAGTGCAAGTATATTAAATTAACGTGGAAAAAATTCAATCCATGTTATATTAGAACATTTCAAGTAAATTTTGGAAAGGAAAATTTCTTTTAAAAATCACCTAAATTATTTAATAATAAACAACGTTTATTTATTATTTAGTGTATCATATAGAAATTGAAGAAAATAATAGGAAAAGTAATAAATAAAGGCATCCGAAATTTTTGATTGTAAAGCGTTTTTGTTTTCATATCCTTTTTAAATTATGTACTTAAAATAATTTATTTTCTGTTTTATTTCTTTTAATTTTCTGCTTCGCTTTCACCTTTAAAAATTTATATACAATAATTATACTCGATTTTGGATGTTCTGAATTATCCCCAAAGAATATTATCAGATGAATTATAAAAAAATTCACGAACCGTACAAGTTTATAGAATTTTCATGTTTTTTTTCTCCTTATCCTGAATCTAAGAAATTTTAAAAATTATTCATGTTTGAAAAAATTATTTCAAAAACGGGCCGAAATTTGTTTTTATGTTTTTTCATTCCAGAATAAGCTGGATTCGTAATATATGGGCGTAAATATACATGTTTATATATATATATATATTAATACGTTTTGTACTCTAAATTTCGTTGAAATTTTTTAAAATTTAATTTCCTGAAAAAATTCAAGATAAATGATAATAATAAAACCAAAGCTTATTATTAAAACTTTGTCTTTAAGGAGACGAGGCACTAACGGAAATTTATAGGAAAAGAAAAGAAAACTTACCTACCATCATCTGTTTAACTTTAATGTATAAGTTTGGGTCAGAATAAATATAATAAAAACAAAACAAGATAAAAGAAAGAAATATTTTTGCACGACCGTTCTTTTGACACCATTTCCTATAAAAATTAAATAAAGAAACCAAACGCCCATTGAATCATTTCTTTATTTTGTATATGGAGGATCGGAGAATAGAAAAATCCAATCTTAATTAAACTTTATCCTTAAAGGCCTTTTCAAAATAAAAAGGACATGCGATTCAATGTTTTATAGAAACAATGGAAACAAATTTTTCCTTTTCTTTTTTCAACTTTTCTTTAGTTTTTCAACAAAACTTTTTTTTTTATTATTTTGATTTTCTTCTGGCTCTGGAAGATGGCTCTGTTATCGCAATTATTTCACAGTACAAAAATTATTGAGTTCTACTTGAGTGATTTTCAGTTTCTTAGTTTCATGGCAGTGGAATTTTGATTATTATTTTAAGGCACATTTAAGGAGATTTTCTAAGGATTTTTAATTTAAGAGATTTTACTTCTATTTTCTTTTTTTTTTATACATAAATAAGGTTATTTATAACGTTTTAAAAATATCTACGTGAGTTATATTCATGTATAAAAAGTGTGAAATAATAGTTATAAATTTTGATTAACCGTTCAGTTCTACATAAAAGACTGAAGATTTTGTGCTTCAAAAGACCAGACTTTATTATTTGCGAAAAACTATAATTCTTCAAGTTTAGAGTAATAGTTTTTTATATTCCACAGGGTCAACCTGCTATTATTATATATATTATGTAAGTAAAATAATATTATATAAGTTTTTATAAACAGTGGAGAGCAATTTCATAAATTTAAAACTAAATACATATAAAAATTTTATTGAGTTAACGTAAATTATGAAGGAAGAGCAGTTTTGGGATTGTAAAAACTTTAACTTTAAGAAAATTTCAAAAAATTCGAAAGCAAATAATAATACTTTCAAAAACTGAAATTTTGCAGAGTTAAATCTTATAGATCAGACACCTTGCCTTAATGCTCTACATGAAGTTCTCTATGTTTTCTTTGAAAAGTAATTATGATACTAGAATTCTTTTATATGAATTGTTATTTGTATTCATTTTACGAAATCTGTTAAATATTAAATATGCAATGAAAGTTAAAATATGAAGCTGGAAAAGCGAAACATATTTGTAGATAGCGCTATTTTTATGACAATTTCTTCTCTATTTCTTCTGCTTACGTGCATGTGCAATATCGCTGTAATGATTTAAAATGGCCATGTATTTATTTTAGAAGCATAATATAAATTTAAAATAATTTTTTTTTATTTGAATTGAAAAAAAAACTTAAAGTCGTAAAATATTGAGCAAAAAATTACTTTTTTTTTTGTATTTTTTTAGAACTTTATTAGAATTAGGAGCATCACCTAATTATAAAGATGCAAAAGGATTAACACCACTTTATTTATCAGTAACAAAGAAAACAGATCCAAAAATAACTGAAAGCTTATTACATGATCATGCAACTCTTGGTACACAGGACAATCAAGGTTGGCAAGAAGTTCATCAGGTAAGTTAAAATGGCTTTATCAATTTAAGTACGTATAGTAGACCAATTTTTTTTTTGTATCTCTCATTGAATTTGAGTGGGAATTGGATTAGTATACATAAATGAAAATTATTTATATTAGAAGGAAAAAATGTACGCTCTTAAAAGCAAAAATTCAGCATAATATAAAGAATTTTATCTTTCATAATTTGTATAAAATTCGCTTACTTAATTGATTTATTTAACAAAAGAAAAGGGTTATCATTTAGTCCAATAGACAACATAAAAACTTAAGACTTATCATAATGTCTTACTGTAAAATTACTTAAATTTTAGTAAATCAATTTTTAAGGCAAATGTACAAAACAGAAACCAATTTTTTTTAATAGCTTAAGTTATCGACAATTGTATAACAGTTTCAAAGGTGAAAGTACTTGTACGTCACAAGTCTTGAAATGATGACGAGGGAAACTAATGAACACATTGTTTTTTAGGTTTCTTTTTTTTAAATCTCATATGAAAATAGTTATCTGCTTAAGCTATTGCTGTTTCAATATTTTCTGCTGCATATTTCGAGGAAAAATTGGAAAAAAAAAAATATTATTAAAATTGTTATATCGTTTGAGAGAACTTAAAAATTTTGATCCTGTGATTGATTTGTTAATATTGCTAAAATGCAGATCAAGGATATGCAAACTTACAGTTGTATAACAATAATACTGCGTGTCCTTCTAACCTCCTGAAATTTTAATGATTTCGGAAAAAAATCTGAAAACGACGTTTATAAAATATTCGTTCTCTTTTTTATTACTGCTACATAATGCATGTAGGTTGCAGAGAGAGCAATCATTATAATAAATTTAATAATAGACACACATATGTGTACATAAATTATACAAGTACATACAATACCTACGCTGAAACATTTAATAGGCACGTGCTCTTCTATTAATCTCTCTTGTATTCTCTTTTATATTAAATTTTTTTTTATATTATTTTATATTATACAAAGCAAATATTAATTAATTATTTTTGAGGTTAGGTCAGCTTTGATTACATTTTTTATTATTTTTTATACTTGTTCCGCTTTTTATTTACGCTTGTATATGCATAATGTATTTCTTGTATGTATAATAAAAATAGTTAATAGAAAAATGAATATGTCAGCTTAATCTGACGTATGTGTACATCATACTGTATATATTTATAAATTTTTTAGTACATACGTCTTAATTAGAGAGTAGATAAACAATTGTTTTATAAGAGACTGAAATCTATTGATCGGCAGGAAATTGTCTATTGTCTTTTCAATTAGTTGTGCGTTAATTTATACATATATGAATGTATATATCTATTGCGAATTGATAAGATTTTACTCTTAAAACAAAATTAAAAATAATTTTTAACAGCTCGTTTCTTATTTTATTGTTAAATCAAGCATACAATCACTTAATAAGACAATTTGGTATTGCGTTTGTATAGTTATGTACATAATTAGTATGAAAAATATAATGCGTATAATGAAATAAGTCCCATAATTAAAAAAATAAATATGAAAGGTATATAACACAATGTTGCGGTACCAAAAATAAAATCACTGTTTGTTGCAGTAAACATTTTAATTCAGATATTTAATTTTTTTATTCTAGGAAATTAAGTTAGGAATCAAATACTAGTGTTAATATTTGGATACTGCTTCCATGTGAAAAATATTTCAACAACCAATTTTAAACGAAAAATCTTAATAATTAAAAAACTCGTCTTACTAACAAAGAAGAAACAAGCTTATTTTAAGAATTAAACAGTGATTCAAAAATTTTTCTAATCAAACTCGGCCTTGAATCTCAGGGGATCAATAAAAAAAAATATTTCCGTTTTAAGAAGGTTTCCGTCTTACACAGAATTAAAAAAAAATTTATGAATTTATAATGTATGTAATACATTATGTTTATTACACATTTTAATTTTAATTCAAAATAACAAAAATTTAGCTTAACCTTTTCCCTTTTAGTTAAGCGATTTCATATGTTCCTTTCAAAGATAATGTGTTCTCTATTTTGCACATGTTACTGCAAAAAGTTTTGAAATTATTCTGAACACTTTTATAATTGAAGCGGTAAGTAGACAAAAGGATGGACTTAAATTTGCATACTAACACTTGTTTTCATTAACGAATTGTGAAAATATTAATTTTTTCGTGACTTACCTCCTATGTGCACTGTCAATCTCGTCTTTTATTAAGTTTCTAGTTATAAGAACAGTTGAAAATATATGAAATTTAATGATGTTCTATCCGAAAAGCTCGAAATTTCGTCAAAATGTTACTCAACCCCTTTGTCCACTTACCTCTTCAATTATTGAATTTTTTTTGTTAATTTTTTCTTTAGCTGGAGAACTTATCAACAAAATTTTGAAATTTAAATTCAATTGAAATAAAAAACAAGATAACCCAGTAAAATTTCAAATTTAACCAAACAAAAAAGATTTAAAAATACCCAGTAAACAAACCATGATACCAAATGGTGATAAAAGTGACAATAATTAAGTTTACCCAACAAAAAATTCATATTGGAAGTGACATAAAGTTTGCAAAAAATTAAACTTCAAAATAGAAAACGAGAACGGGGGGATATAAAAATACACAAATGTGATATTTTCCCGTTTATATGACGCAAAATCTTTCCGTTTCCATCTTAAACTATTTTCCGTCTTATGCGGGTTGCTTTGTATGGAAATATGAACGTGCAAAAAAAAGTTCGTTTTAAAGCAGGTTTTCATTTCAAACAGTGTCCGTCGTAGGCAGGTTTCACTGTATTTCGTAAAAATAGAAAATATCTTTATATTCAACTTAAAAATTTGCATTGTGGTTATAAAACACAAATCAAAAAAATATTATATAAAATATGAAAGATAAAATTTTCAATTATTATGAGTAGAAATTTTCAAAGAAAAGTATATTTGTAGTGATTGTGGGCGGAATATTAAAAGTGTCTATTTTATAAATTAATATTAAATTTATACAAAGAAAAAATTTAACTATTGGTGATTTAGAATTGAGCTTTATTATAACTTTGTTCTTAAAATATTTTTGAAAAAATTTATGTAGCTCAAATCTAGATTTAATTTTAATATATGGTTTAAGGCACTTTTAAGATGTAGATTAAAAATATTTATACTTATACATAATTTGATTTGACGAATAAAAAAATAACTCTTTCTTTAAGAAACTTGTTTAGCTTACGATTATTTATATACTCTTATTCTTTTTCTTAATATTTCTTTCTCTCATTTTTAAATTCAAATAATCAAAAAAAAAAAAAAACAAAATAATAATAATAATATAGGCATGCCGACATGGTCTAGTCCACCATTTGGAACATTTATTGTTTTATGGTGCTGACATGGATGGTCGTAATGCTTCTGGTAATACACCATTGCATGTATGCGCTGTTAACAATCAAGAGACTTGTGCTAGAATGCTTCTATTTCGTGGCGCCCAACGTGGTGCACTTAATTATGCAAATCAAACTCCCTATCAGGTATTTATTGTATTTTTAATATTTCTTTTTAACAAATAATAACATTTTATCATAATTTACTTATGTATGTATGTATTATATTCATTTTGTAGAAATATGCAACTTTTGATTTTAACTTAAAATTTCTTTGGCCAATTTTCGAAAATATTTAATTCAATAACACTTTTATAACATAATTTTTTCCTGAGTAAATATTTTAAATTATTTCTAAATTTTGTGATTGACAAAACCTTACCATCGCATATATTCAAGTTAATACCAAAAATTTTCACTCATTATTCAATTCTTTTACATAAACTATAGACAAATCAATAGCAAGTGCTAACAATTATCTTTCTAATGGCAAACTTTCTAATAATTTAATCTTAAATTTTAAAATTTCTGAAATAACGTTAAAACCAAAATTTTGTATTTCTGCATTAACATTTTTCTTTTTTAAATAATTTTTAAAAAATTAAACTAATTTACAAGAAGGTTTTTATTAAAACACTTATTCTTATACTAAAATTTTTGTTTAATTTAGTCAAAAAGAAAAGATTAACTACTAAAAGGAATAATTGATTTATTTTACAAAAATAATAATTTTATTTACAATATTTGAGCGGAAAATATTATGCTAATCAAAAACTAAAAAACTAAGTGAATTACAAAGTGAAAGAAAATTTTTTTGTGCTAAAATTTAATTAAAAACTTTTTTAACACATTTGTTTCCTCTCTCATTTAATGTTAATTGCAACTTAGCCTTTTTAAATAAATAGCATAATATTTTATGTTCGACAATTATTAGAATATGTGAAGGACATTATTTTTTTTATACAAAATGGTCGTATTTTTTTAAAAGATGTTAAAGAGTTTTGTCTAACTTTTTAATTGATTAAATTAACACACTAGTGATTAAATACTACATTGAAAAACGTGAGTGAATATCTTTTGAATGATGTTTTAACTATGTGAAAAAGTTATTTAATTGCTGAAAAAATAAACTATCAGAATTGAAGAAGAAATTTCAATATTCGTCACATATAAACATAGGTAATAAATTTAAACACGATCCTTATACAGTATGGACTTTTTAGCATATGTTAATTTGCAGGGTTTGGTTGAATAATTCGATGGGTGATTGAAATAAGCAAATTTTCTCGTAACTGCATTTCCGTACTCCATTGTTTGTATCGTTTCAGTTGCTTTAAGGAATGGATTCTTGCATATTATCTAAATAACGTAAATTAAATTTTTTTTATGGGATGTTGGTTTTTATAAATGTTGGTATGAAGAAGCTGAAATTAAATTGTATTTTTTATCGTTTTTACACCCTCACTAAATGAATTTAAATTTAACCAAAAAATTAGGTCTTCGATTTAAGATGCCTAGAACTCAGAGCTGCAAGGAATTGAATATTCTCTTCGCATTAAACTAAAAAGTTAAAGAGGTGTTAAATATTAAAAAAAAAGTAATGATAATCGTAAAGCGTTACAAAAGAATTCACAAAACACTTTGTTTAAAATTTCAAAAATCATTCGGATGTGGTCATCAAATAACTGACCGCAATGTATATTGCCTAGATAAGTAAAAGTATTTTTATGTGTTTCAAACACTTCTGTGCAATTTTAACGACACTAATATGCTTTTAGGTAACATACCTAGAAAAATGTGAATACAGAATTATACGAAAGTTCATCAGTAACTTCTGGAACCAACCTAAACTCAAATATTAAATTTCAAGAAATTCCATCAATTCGTTCCGTAGATATGGTAAAAAATGCAAAATCGGCCCCCAGTTTGGTTTCCGCACTGATCTTTCCAAAAAATTTATAGATTCATTGCTTCAAGACTTCGAATTTAAATATTAAATTATTTCAATGAAATCAGTTGATTATTTTTCTTTTCATACGCAAAAATGTATATATGGCCCGTAGTAAACGTCCAAAAGTTAAGAGGTCACGTACGATCGATTGAGGCTTATATATGAAATTTCAAATAAATCTGTTAAATATTTTCTTCAAAATAATGAAAAATGTAAAACAGGCCCGTTAAAAAGTCCAATTCCCGAGGCCCGATATATCCCAAAAGTTGATCAATCCATCGTTACATGATTGAAATAAATTCACATAAAAAACTTAATCAAAATCGGTTCAACCGAACTTGAGATACATGCGTGCACACACAGACCGACAAGTTGCTAAAAGTCTTCCATCTTTGATTGTTGTGATAAAGATTTTAATTACAAAGATCGGACAATAGAAAATAATTCTACTTTTAGAAAGTGAAAGTAATAGCAAAGTAATTTTTAAAATATTTTTCATAAATTTATTTAAATAAAACGTAACTAAAATAAATTTTATTTATGCAAATAACGTAAATAAAAATATAAAAAAAATACGATCATTGCTTCGAAATTTTATTTAGTTGCTGTGGTTATACAACATACTCAATTTAATTATAATGGATATTTTAACATTTATTTTAATTTGAATTATTTTTATACATACTTATTATATTGTTATACAAAGCTAAATAAATTACAAAAATCGTATATTCTCATAAAAAAAAAAAAATAAAATTTAACTAAAACATTTAAATTTTCTTTTAATTTTATAATTAAATCAAAATGAATACTTAAGGTGGCTGTAATTGCCGGTAATTTAGAGCTAGCTGAAGTCATACAAAACTATAAGTCTGAAGATATCGGTAAGTTTAAACATAATTGTAATTTTTGTATTATTGTTTTTTTTTTTAATCTAGTCAAACTTAATTATTGTTAATGTGTTAAGTGTCACAACATAACACACATTTTACTCACAAAAATTTCATTAATATTTTTTTGTTTGATTCATCAAAGAAAATATAAAATTATATTAATAAATTCTTCATTTTTTATTTAAATGAAAAAAATAAATAAATCTATTGTTAATAGAAAAAGTTTCCTTCTCTCAAAATTTCAAAGATCAAAATTAAAAAAAAAAACACATGTTTTTCTTTAAATAAATTTATTTTTTGTTAAATTATTTTTTTATTTTAAACTATTTTTTAAGATTTTCATAGTTTGCATATTTTTGAAAAAAAAGAAACGTTTGTTTGTTACATTGTTAACTTAAAACTAGCTTATTCTTCTTTTCTATATACATACATATATATGTATAATATGCATACATAGTATATACCATTATAAATTTGAGATATTTTTAATCTTTAAAATTTTGTTTTCAAATCATCAATTTGTAATCATTCATTTATAAATAAGAACCATCACAATTTCCCTCAATAAATTTATAAATAATATATTTTTGTATAGTTGAATAAATTGCTTTTGAAATTGATTGAAAATTTTAAAATTTTAATGCGCCAATTTATAATTTTTATATAAGCACTCAATTCAAAAATATATTCTAAAAAAAATATTAGTTTTAATTAGTTAATATTAAAAAATAGATGAAAAACAATTTAGTGAACTAATTTTAAATATCACAGAAATTGCAAAAAGTATTAGCATAGTGTCTACAATTTTTAGTTTTATAGATGTCACTAAATGTAGTTGTCTTTACTTAGATCCAGTAACAGAAGAATTACCAATATTATGTGTTTTCGAAACATGTGTTTAAAGACCTAATGAACATTTTTAAAGTTTTGAGCTTAGTTATTAATTGTTGCTAAAAAAAGTGTGTTTAATAAATAATCGAAAAGAATATTATGGGAATTCTAGATTAATGTTATGGAAAACGAATTTAATACAGACATATATAAATCTTAATTTTTATAGATACTATGATCACGCGAATTATTTATTTAAAAATTTTAAGTTATCGTAAAAAAATTTACTTTTTTTTACAAAAATTCATACAGGGGACATAAAAAATTCTATTGAAATAATTCTCTAATTGCTATAAAATGTTGCATATATTTAGGAATAGTAGATTTTCTCCTAAAAATATGCAACATAGTTAATAATTTTATAGTAATTAATCTGCAAATATGAAAATTAAGTTAAGTTGTTAATAAATTAATACAAATAATTGAAATATAAGGGTAAATTTATTAATAAGAGAACGTATTATACATTGTAGCTTTCATAGAATTAGGATGAAATTGTAAAGTTGAAAAAATTGGTCCGGGAAAAGGGACATTTTTGAATGATTAAGTGGTATTAACCCGAGTAAAGAAAAAGATAAAAAAAAATTGTTATTTTGATATAAAGTCAAATATTGTGGTTTCCTACAAACTGTTAAAATATAACAGTTTCCCTTGATCTGCACACGTATTAGAGAAATGAAAAAAAAGATTCCAAGAATTTAATAAAAATCTTAAACAAATTTCATTTTTCACAAAAACACAAAAATAAATTAAATTAAAACCTCCTAACTTTTGGAAAGTTGTAATAAAAACTTTATAATCAAGATTAAAAAAATTTTTACCTCAAAAATTTTCTTCTATTATAAATTTTTGTTTTTTGTATTCTGAAGGTTTTGTATTCTGAATTTCAGTAGCGATTAGCAGTCCGAGTAAACACACGTGCTTGGTAAAATTAGCAAGCCCATCTTCTGCAAGTTTGCTGGAAATGTTCAGAATTGAAATCAAAATAAAATTGTTTTTTTTTCTTTTTATAATTTCGTTAAGTTTTTATCAATTTGCTAAATTGAAAAAGTTTTAGGGCTTGAGTTTTAGCTATAAATATCATATTTCACTTCGCTTTTAACTCGTTCCTTTGATTACGTCATCCATCTGTTCTGCAGTTACATGAAGAAATTTCCATTAAGTTAAATATTTCACATATTATTATGAATTTTGAGTTATTGATAAATAAAATAGTCGTTTAGTTGACATTGAAAATTTTACAGTGAATTTAACAGTTATGCCTTAAATTTTACAAAACATAAAGATTTACTTTTCTTTATTTCACTCCTTATTACTCTTTTATTTATTGCTGAATGAAAGAGATGCTTGTATAAGATTTGAAATTTATAGAACATCTTCCGGAATCGTATGAAATTATATAAAGCGATTTCACTTATTTAAGAAATTCATTAAAGCACAACGGAAGATGAAAACTGATTTTCAAATTAAAATTTGCATAATTCGGTAGTTCAAATATTAGACCAAACATAATAATTTGCCACAGAATATAGATCAACAATATGAAAAAGTGAGCTCTAAAAGACATTTCTTTTGACAATAAATTAAGATTTTCACAAGCTCTAATCTAACTAAAATATTCATTCACAATACCAACCATTGATTTAGATATACTTTTTGTTGAAGAAATTATGTATGAAACTTTTGAAGTTCATTTTTAAGAAAATAAATTTTGATAGCGTATACAAAAGTCAATTAACTTCCATTTCTATAGAATCGAAATGCAGTTACATTGTTTAGGCTTGAGAGATTCTGGATTATAATAACATGTTCACAATTATTTGTGTATGTATATAGATCATTATATCAATTATGCATATGCAAATAAACCGAATATAAAGTACAAATTGTCATTTGAATTACCCCAATTAAAATTATTGCTCACATTAGAAAATAATTAATTACGCATAATTTTTTTTGCATATTGAACATTCAATTTTAAAAATTTAATAAAATAATTTCCAATTATAAAAATATTTAAGAGATTTTTTTAATTTTGCATATACACGTATATAATAAAATATTATTAGGAAAACTTTTCATTTTATTACAACTATTATTTTAAAAATTGCTTTAAGGCATTTTAATTGAATTTTTTACTAAATTAAACATATTGAGTGACATTTTCACTTTCAACAATGCATACAATATAGATTCAGAAATAGTGGTGTTTAAAACAATATAAAACAATTAAAGTTCAAATTTTATTTTGAAATTAGAACGAATTATGTAAAAATTGTATAGGATATGAAGGTTTTAAAAAAAATTTTGTTATCATATGTGATATTTTGCTAAGAAGATCTCATTCTTTAAAATTTATTTTTGAATAAGTTTTAGTTTTTTTACATTAATGTTGAATTTCCGACAGTGCCCCATTCAAGTGTAAAAAGTGTCGCAAATTCTTTTTAAAAATCAATAAATTTTGATTTTTAGCTTTGAATTTTCAAATATTTCCGGTCAACCAAATTGAATCAGACCAAATTCAAGTTATTGAACAAGCAAACAATAATTGGGTGTGAATATTAGGATACTATCTATATGCATTAGCTGAAATTCTAACAGATAACAAATATCTGAATAAATGAAGTTGTTCTTTAATTCCCATGTAACTCATTTTGGATACAAGGAATAATTGCAGAAAATTGTATTAATTTTTTAGTACTAAGTGTTTTTAAGTCATAACGATCGACATTGGAAAATCAAAATTGTTTATTTTATATAGCATTCGAAACTTTGCAAATACTTGTGTAGCATAGTAGTCTCTGTTTTCCTTTTAAAGTAAAATTAAATATACATAAAATTAATTACAACATTTTATTCATAATATTTTGTAAACAGTTCCATTCATAAATTATGTACATATATATTTCAGGTACATTAATGTATATATACATACATATATATATACAAAGTAATAAAACATTTAGTTTATAGAGTTCGAAAGTTTTTTCTTGTTAGTTTTTCATTTCACTTGAATTTTTTATTTAATTTTTGTTTACAAATTTTTTAATTTTCTAGTTTCTTTTTTTATCTTTATAATACCCTCCAATGCTTTTCTTAAAATTTATATATATATATAAACTTATTTACTATTCCTATAAACATTTATATAATAAACATACTATTATAGTTACTTTTTTCTGGAATGCTTTTGTATTTGTTTAAATGTTAAATTATTATAGTATTAGTGTTATTAATTATTTCAAAAGAGAGAAAGAAAAAAAAATATGAAAAGTCAGCAACAAAATTTTTCTAAGGATTTCATAATAGGATTAAGTGCTAAAAAGACAACTAAATCGTAAGTAATTATTATTGTTAATAGCTCTGAAAAATTATTCATAGATGTCGCTAAATATGCTTAATTACAATAAATATTAAATAATAAAATAAAAATTAATCAAAAATAAAAAATATTGCAAAATATTGAAAATTAGTTTTTGCTCGATTAATGTGCTTTTCAAAGAAAAACATTTTTTTTTTTTTGTTATTTCTACATTTTTATTTGGAGAGTTTACATTTAAATATTGTTAAATAATAAATCGTTAAAAAAAATAAATTCTGATAAGTTTCGACCAATAATGAATTTTGAGTCTAGTATAATTGATTTTATGTATAGATTGTGAATTTTTTAGGAAATGCGAAATTGTAAGACAGAAAAATATTAGATGAAAAAAGGATACTTAATATAGTGACTTTTGAATACAGGCTAATTTATTCACACTAATAATATTCATAAAGATAGTGGGATTTAGCTAAAGTCGGGGTCAAAATTAAAAACATGCTTAGATTAGAAATAAAGAAATGTAAGAATTTGAAAAAATTAGATATAATATGCTAGGCTTTCTATATAGGCAAAATTTTCAACCTATTAAAAAATATGTGTTCTTTAAAATGTTCAAAAATTACACTAAAAGCTTGTGCTGTTTATTACGTATATCAGTTAAATATTTAATAATTTATGTAATTTTTTAGACTTCAGACTATAAAGCTTATAATGTTGTGGATATTTTTGAAATAAATCGCAATCGCAAGCAATCCTAAAGCTCTGCTCTCTTACTTAGGCCAATATAGTAAGAAACAGTTAGGAATTATCAATAAGCTACTTGTTAACAAAAGTTATAAATAAAAATATGAAAAAGTATATAAAAAAAAACATATTTATAGGTAAACATATGTACACTAAATCACTTTTTCTTTTAATTAATTTTTACTTCTAAATTGATGAACTTGGATAAATAAACAGCAGTAGTTACAAATTGCAAAAAAAAATTTCAACTTTTAACAATTTCATGCTTTTTTTATTATTTCGTTTTAAAGGATTTTCTTTTCAAAATAGTATAAGTTTATTAATTTTACAACGACTAAAGATGAACGCATTCAAAACATTTTTATGAACATGATTTGCATGTTCAACACCATTTCACGCTATTAAGATTATGTTACATTTAATTACACTTTTTAATAAATTTTAATATTATTTACTAAAAAATAATATTGTTTACATTTTTTTTTTCTTTATTAAAACTTACTATGAAAAACATTCGATCGTTGGCATGCAAATAGTCAATACTTGTTCGGTAATATCGGAAGTTCGTTGAAGTTTTTTAAATGTTAGATTTTTTTCTGTTAATTGATCATTAATCAAAATTACTTTAAAAATTGTATATTTCGTTTATGAAATTTGAAATTGTTTTGTAAAGCAAAGAACCGTGTATTTTATTTTCAAAATTATTTTTAAACCAAAGGCATACTTGAAGAGTTTATTATTTTTGATATGCTCCTGAAAATATGTAACGTAAATTAAAGTTCAGCACATTATTGTATTAAAATTTCTTGAAATATCAATATAAAATATTCAAAACTAAGAACGAACGAAACTATAATGAAAATTAACTTTTTTTATTTAAAAAAATAATTAAAAAAATCGCATGTAAATAATTATGCATAATATATAAAAAAATCAAGTAAACGGTATTTTGTTAAGCCTATATCTTAAATTTCATGTACCTACATACCACGAAAATTTCATTATATTTTATTATATAAATTATAATTATTTTAATTTAAAACACCAGACAATTGCAATTATAGCGTTTATTATGGCAAATATAAACGGAAAGTAGTTTTACATTGTAACATAGGCAATATAAGTATACATACAATATATATTATGTTAACAATGTAGGTACCAATGTTATATATTTATTTTGTAGGTACTTTATGTTGATTTCAATTTCATGGCTTTTTAATTAACTATAAAAATTTTAATTTTTAAAGAAATTAATTAGAGAAAGAACAAAAAAAATTAATGTACACATAGGTTTGTTGAAATTCAATAAATTTCATTAAAATTAAAATTGTTTTATATACGATGTCGGTGTTTACATAATGCGTATGACATTTTTTTATAATTTGTGGTGTTTTGGTTTCAATTAATAAAAATTCTAAGTGAATTCAAATTAATTCTTAACACTATTATTTTGTATCTTCTTAATCTACTTTGTACTATATGAAGCTAAAGTTGTGAATTCTTTCAGGAGTAAATTATCCTAAGAATAAATTGTACTAGTACGAAAAGAAAATTGTGAGTAGCCATGTTATATATTAATGTCACAATACAGTTATATAATTAATTATTTTAATTAATTCGCTAAAAAAATGTATTTGAAGTAACGCATAGCCCTTTTTTCACTGCAATTTAATTAAACAATGTGTTTTAATGCTTACATTAATACAAAAACCTATACACCTAATATAATCCCCATGAAATATCCTCAACATTTTTATACAAAATGCAAATTTTCTAGTTAATATCTCATAATTTATGAAAACCGCATAGGAATATTTACAACAATTTAATATTTATCTTACTACCAAAATATTTGAAATTTTACTCAGAAAAAAAAAACATACGAAATTAACATGAAAATAACATGGAATAAATATCGCACCATTATTTATCATAAAAATATCGAATAATATGCAAAACTGACGCGGTAATGCATTGAAAATTAAAAAACAAAATCAAGCTGAAAAAAAAAATAAATTTTAAAATATTTTTAATTTTATTTTTTTTTCTCGTTTTGCTTTTGTACACATAATTTGTATTGAATTCCTAGATTTTGCCTACAAAATAGCATACATACATACATAACATATGTATATTTTCTGGCAAACCATAAAGCAAAAGTTAAAATAAAAATTTTGCATTTTTAATAAATTATAATTTCAATTATGCACCACAAATGCTTAAGCTTTCAATTTACATGTGAGGTAAATTTACAAATTCGAACTTACAACGACGAATTACATGTTATTTTTCATTAAGTACAGTTTACACGCACGTTTAATAAATTTGTAAATTTCATATCCAACTTAAACATAATATTCTCTTACATGTTTACAAACATGTGTATGCGAATATGTGTATAACTGTTATCGCTCTTATTTCGAAAATTTAAAAAATAAATAAGTCAATGTACAAATTTCAGTCTAAAATATCAAAGATATTATTTCTAAATCGAAAATATTAGGAGATTCGAATTTCATTATATGGAAATGATTAAAAAATTTTGAATATAAATGCTTGTATATTCAAAGCCTTTGATTGTTAAAAAGAAACTTGCATTAAAAAAAGTGTTGAACAGTGATTGCGAACTTTTTTAACGGTACTTTGTTATAGTTGCGACAGTGTGAAACGAAGTTTCACCCCTTAACGAAAAACTACTTTTTTTTAATTTATTGTTGGAATTATTTTATTAACACTTCATTTGGATTCCCTTTATTAACAAAAAAATAATTTTAATTAAAATCAAAATTGTCACCCCAATTAATAATCAGCTACTCATACGAGTAGTTCACTGCTCTCAATCCATTAACTCTCCCGATTGAATTCAATTAATTGAGTTAATTGATTGTGAAACTCTCTTTCAAATGAGCGTTAAGTGCAAACTTACTTTAAATTTCCTATTTTCTTACAACGATTTATTTTTTCTTTTTTTTTTTTTCTCTACGATCACTTTGTTGTTATTTATAGACACACAAGAAAAAAAACCAACTTGTATTTTTAACTTGGTTGTAACAAAATTGCGCTCAACCAAAAAAATTTTCTTTTTTTTTTTTGAATTTCGAAAAACGGGGGAAAAATGTAGAAGGAGTTTTGGTTTTAATTTTTCTATTTTTAATTGCGCTTTGCTCGATTCTCAATTTATGTGATTTTTTTGTTTTTTCCAAAATAAATTTTAATTTTATTAATTTTTAATTTGAATTTTGTAATCAAAAAAGTTGGTTAGCAAAAAATATTGGAAGCACACAGCATTTACTTTTGTACATTCATCGTTCGTAATAAACGAAAAAAATATTTGAGTGATTTGAAATTTTTTATTGATTTGAAAACAAAATCGATTTTTTTTTTATATTTAAAATAAATCAAAAATTTGTAATAAGCGAATTTAAAAACAAAAAAATTAATTTTCAAAAAAACGCAAACTAAAATTTAAATAAAAATTTTTTATTTAATTTTCAAAATTAAAAGACAAAGAAAAAAAAAAACAAACGATTTAAAGTGTTATTCAATCGCACTGTAGATTAAAATCCAAAAAATCATTAAAGAAAATAATTTTAATTATATATACCTAGTCCCATTCCGTGGTCCCCCACGTTATAATCCAAGACGACGTTCCGGTGTCGGATGGATGGCATATGGTGTTGGTAGTGGTACACTAGCACATCATCATGGTAATGGTAGTATATCTGGTGGAAGTATATTAGGTTCAACATTGTCAAGAGGAAGTACATGTGGCCCACCATCACCATGTCCGTCTGAGCATTTGCCATATAGTTCAGCAAGCTCCAGTTTATCTGAAGGTTCATCTGGACATCGTTCACATGAGGATGATATTAGTATTGTTACAGGTATTTATGAAAAAAAATTTTCATTTCTTTTTTTTTTTGTTAAATCGTATTTTCGAAGAGAGATGGATAATTGATTGTTTGATTGAAATGGAAAATAAAAGAATCAGAATAATTTGATTTTATTATTCATTTCAATAATAATCAAGTTTCAATATGAATAATAAGAGTAGTCCCGTAGTCTAAAGTAAGTTAAAAAGTATTAGGAATGTTATTTTTTAGTATCTTTTATTTGTATATGATTACATATAATTGTTAATTGCATTGTTACGTATATTCAATCTCCAAAAGTTTATTATTTATCTAATTATTATTTGCATGATTAAGAGATGTTGAGTTCGTTTTTTTTTCATATAAACTTTCCTTAAACATTTTTGCATGTTCTATAGATTTCATTTCAATCATGTTATATTGAATGTATAATAATATAAAACGAATAAATCTATGTATATGTGTGTACATATATAGAAAAATTAGAACAACATTTTAAATTTTTAAGGAATAATATGGAATTGCTGATAAATAATGTACTCTAATTTAATTTAATAATTTAAAGCCGAAAAATCTGCTTGCTCACTAGTTTTATACATATTTTTTTGTACATATATATAGCAAATAGAAGACATATTTAATATGTCACAAGTGTCATAACTTACATACAGCAAAAATTAGCTATTTGCGTTTCCACAAATTATACAAAATTATGGCTAGAGCTCTCATTTGATTTTACATATAAACTTTTGATCTGGCCAAGGCTTAGGAATTTAAAATGAATTAATAAATATGCACATATATTAAAATTTTTGTTTATGTTTTTTTTTAAATCTGATTCTGTCGCATTCCAAGTTTGCGCATTATACAACTATAAAAAAAATATTTTGAGATTAGAGTCCAAGGGTAAAGTTTTTTTTTATTCCTAGGCAAGTACTTTGATTTCATTAAAATCAAAATTAAAAAGGAACAGGACCAATGTAATTATTCTTAAAAAATGTAAAATTTAGAAGTTAGAGAAAATCAGCGAAATTTTATAAAAGAATTTTTATACCAAAAGGGCAGTTTCTCACATATGTGCATTAATTATTTTTAAATATTTCACAATATTCAACGTACCCTATAATCCAATAATTCTCCTATAAATTTATAAATAAAATTAATTGTCGATCATCAATAAGAATTTTTCTCCATTTGCCCCTTTGTGAGACAAATTTAATTACTGTATTGTTTGTTTTATACTGAATTCGATTTCTTTTTTAAAATATTTTTCATGTCATCCTTGTATGTTCATGTCATTTTAGTTTGACAAATTGGCCAATTCTTTAAGAAATTAATGTTAAAAAAATTTTTCCTATTTATTTTTAAAAACATTGAAATAAAAGTTACAAAATTGAAAGTGCTTAATCTTTTTTCAAACTGAGTCTAAATACTCAGTGCATTTCTTTATTTTAATTTTTTTGTGAATTTCCGACGTTTATTTTACTGCTTTGCTGTATGCATTCTCCAGTGATCAATATTCCATTAATGTCCCATGGAACTATTAATATAATGGGGAGGAAAATTATTGCAAAAAGTAAAAATAAAATTTAGAAAAAGAAGAGAAACTTTTATACGAAATTGTTTTTTACAAACTTAAAACTTTCATACATTGTACGTGTTGTTTTTCAATATGAAAGGAATGAAAAAATGCCTGGTTTACATCAAAATATCTGCGAAAAGTTCAAAGAATACAAATAATGTAAAATACAACAAAATGAAGGCAAAGAGTTCAAGAAAAAACATTCCATATTTTGAAAGGAAGAAGGATATAAATAATAGCTTTTCAATTCTGACACCAACTTTAATAATAAATGTGTCGGAATAAACGCCAATTTCGAAATAACCTACATATATCAGTCTAAAATTTTTTTTTTCATTTCTTCTACCAAAGCCGCTTTTTATGGATTTTTCAATAAAAAAAATAGTTTAAAAGGTTTAACCAGAAAAGCTGTAAATTGAAGTTTATAAAGAAAATTATAAAATTGAATGGCTATATCAGCAAGTAGCACATTTAAGTTTAAAAATTTTTAGGATTTGATACTGTTAGAATTTTAAGGGCTGGAATATAAAAAGCCAACTTCCATTCAAAAAAAACAAATATTTAGGGGGATCTTTTGAAAAATTGAAAAAATTTAAAAAAAAGAAATGTTAGTTTAAAAGATAAGAACGACAGTGATATTAGTTAAGAAATGTATTCTTAATTTTTAAAGATATTTTATTGCTTAACTGAAAATTAGGAGAAATATAAAACAAAGTCCATAATTTGAAAGGTCGAAATTTTGCGAAATTTAAGTAGCGAATAAATGTTAAAGTTAAGAGCAAAATTCCATTCTCAATAACGGTTGATTTGAAATTCTAATACTTCCTTATAATGTTTTGCCGCAAATATTTTTCTTTTGTTGAACACAAATTTCGTAAAAATCGAAGAAAGGGCAAAAATAAGTGAACAACTTACCAGATATAAATCATTTTCTAAAAGTAATTTATTTGCTTGTAAAATTTCTTCATATAAATGAAATTACCTTTATGTGACGCTAATCTCTAAATCTCAGTTTTTGTATAAAAGTTGTTACTTTTCAAAAGAACTTTGAGAAAATTCAAAGTTTGGAATTTAATAAAATTATATATAAAGCTTTGACTAAAATGTGATTTTAAATTTTATTAAAATTTATCTTTTTTGTAACTTTAGATAAAAGCATTGGAGATACAAGCGATATAATCAGCGATTCATCTGGTGTCGGTACAAATTCTGATAGTGCAGCATGCTCAATCGGACATCCCAGCACGACTGTAGTTTGTATGGAACCATATGCTGGTAATACGATTGGACATATTCGTATACAACCGGGAGAAGTTATTGAAGTTGTTGGATCTACTGATTGTGGCCTTCTTGAAGGTTATGTTCGCGGAACAAATCGTTCTGGATTTTTCCCAGCTGAATACGTTCAAGAAGTTAATATACGACAAAAAAATATTACAAATGTTTCAACAGCTAGCCAATATCAAAATTCTCCACCACCCCCGTCGGTTACAACTATATCAAATACCAATGCAAATAATAATTGTAATAATAATAGCAGTAACAACAATAATATCAACAATAATAACAACAACAGCAGCCAAAATCTAACACTTATGACTCAATCAGTTACGCTGAACGGGCAATATAACAGTTCAACTGGTCCTAGAATTAAGAAAGTGTAAGTAATTTTGTTTATTGTTTTTTTATTTTTTGGGGATTTACATTTAAATATGCTTATTTTAGAAATCTATTGGAACCGCGAACTGTTATTTTACATCGTGCAAAACGTGGTTTTGGCTTCGTATTGCGTGGAGCAAAAGCATCATCTCCATTAATGCAGTTGAAACCGTCAGAACGTTTTCCCGCTTTACAGTACCTTGACGATGTTGATCCAGGTGGTGTTGCTGACAGATCTGGTTTAAAACCCGGTGATTTTCTGTTAGCTATAAATGGACATGATGTCCGCGAAGCGTCTCATGAACAAGTTGTTGATATGATCCGTTCTTCAGGCGCTTTGGTTCAAATGACTGTAATATCAGCGAATTTTCCACAAAATGGTAATAATAATAATCAAATACAACAGCACCAACAGATTCAGTTCCAAAATTTACAAGGGGGTGGCGACATTAATGGCAGCAATGGAATTAATTTATCATCAATAAGACAATGTGCTACACTTCCACGCAAAATGTCTGGTCCTGGTGGTCGTTTACCAGCGCCAACTCCACCACGACGCGATCCAAAGACAACATTGAGTGTTGGTAGAGCAAGAGCAAAATCAATGGTAGCTGGTCTTGAAAATGGGGGCGAAAAAGATCCAAATGAAGACGGCGATATACCAGCAAAGTCTAGCTCAATTGAATCGATTTCAACATCGACACCCACCCAAAATCCAGGTACACCTGTACAGTTAAGAACTGCTAGCATTAAAGCTCGTCCTACGTCAAGCAGAATTACAGCAGCTGAATTAGAAGAGCTATTCCAAAGACAACAAGGCGAAGGTGTAGATGGTACAAATCGCAGTTCAACTATGATGACAACGTCCAGATTCCAATCTGGAACTGATAGCGGAACTGCAACTCCACCTACGAATACATCACCAAACAAGGGTCCTTTGGTATATGCAAGTGTTGCAGAAATGAAAAGAAAAAAATCTTCAAAGAATGGTACACTTCGGGGAAAACCTTGCGCAATACCAACGGTTGGTGCAGATTTAAAACGAAATTTCCATTCTACCCCCGATCTACATTCTCAATTGAGTTCTTCGTCGTCGTCAATTTGGGCTGCTGGAGCTGCAGCTACAAAAGGACATCTTTCTCAAGATGACGTTGCAACTCTTCATGCATCAATGCAACGTCTCAATTTGCCGCCACCAAGTCATCCACCTCCTCCCCCACCAGTTGGCCAAGTTGTTAAAGTTGATGTTTCTCGTGGGTCAGAATATGAAAGTACAATTGCCTTGCAGAAAACAATTCAAAGGAATTCTAATACGAATGGCACTGCTGAAGGGATTGCGTCATCATTCAATCCATCGACAAATGCTAAATTATATGCATCACCTCAAGACTTAAGAAATGTAGCATTCCGAACTAAACAACAAGAAGTAAATGTTTGGTTTAACAATATGAAAACTGATTACGTTAAAAAATTATATTTTTTTTCTAGCAAACACGTAAAAACTCCAATCCAAGGGTGCCAACTCTTCAGCAGGCACAACAAATCCAAACACAAGCCCAATCAAATAAATCCCAAAATACAGTACTGCAACAACAGCCACAGGTCAACCAATATGCACAACCTGGAAGACAGATGATAGTAATGCCGCAACAGCCTGCAACAACTGCTATACAACAGCCACAAGCTCAACAGGCTAAAATATATGCTTCAAACCAAATAATTAAACCTCAAAACAATACTAGTACAGCCCAGCCTCCTTTAGTTGGTCCTGCTCCCCCAATTCCCGATCCCGATTATAGTCTTAGTGAGTCCGATGAAGAAGATGAAAATTCTATACTTGTTGCTCGAAATACTAAACTAAACGAAAAGATTGCTTTAATGGATGTTCCCGAAACAAGCGGCAACAGCAATACAAGGTAATTAGTGATTTTTAAAAACTAATGAATTTACTAAGGCACTTTAATTTCATTTGTCTAAAATTTTGCTTTATATTTTTTAGTGGCAGTAGTACTGGATCGAGTTCCATGCCACATTCTTTCTCCGTTGATGAAATCCAAAAAATGCGAACCAAATTAAAAACATCAAAATCCTACCCCAATGATTTAAAACCAGAAAATAGTGAAGAGCAAAATAATTCAATTAATAATAATAATCGCGATCAAGAAGAAGGTGATAACTCATCATCAGGAGTCAGCAGCGACCAAGAAATCCCCACAAATAATACAGACACAATTAAAAAGAAACCAGCAAGCAATAACCTAAATTCAACAACTCCGGCTTCAATTATTTCAGCACAACCTTCAGATGCACAACACATAACTTCTGCTCCAGTACCTTCTGTTGTAACTCAACCCGTTTTAAACACTGCACCAGTTGTAACAGCAGCAGTTTCGGCACAACAAACCGCTCGTATAGCGTCTTCTACTTCTATTACAACTGCTCAACAGCAACCACAACAGCAGCAACCGATTCATCAACAATTACAATTTCAACAGCATCAATATCAGCATCAATTGCAACAACAACGACAGCAACACCAACAGCCTCAATTTATCCAACAACCTGTTGTTACAAAGACTGTTGCTATTAAATCTGTGTTAATAACATCAAGTCAAAATCCTATACAAAAAACTGCTGCAAAACCATTAAAAATTGAACCAATTCCAGTCAACCACTTATCAAAATCAGTATCAATTGAGCAGCGTAGTGATGATGATGGTGATTTAAGTCCAAGTCCACCTGCAAATGCATTCAAGCGTCATAATTCGCTGACACGTAAACAAGCTGCACAAATTGCAATGAATCGAGCAACAAGAAGTGCAGTTTCTTTGGTGCAATTGCCGCCACCTATTGAAGCTGATCTTGAAATTGATATACCTAATACAAATATGGGTACAACTTGTACAGATCCGAATTGTCCCGATAATATCGTTTTAGCTCCTCCACCGCAATTTTGTGATTGTAATGATATAAAACATAGTGCAGCAGCGACTGGGCAATTAGGTCATTCCACATTAGGTCGACAACATTTCAGCAGTACAGGTAGTAGCGGTTCAGGTCGTGTAAGAATTATTGGAACAATACCGAAAAGTAGTATTCATAGATTGGCATAGTCATAACATAGTAAAAAATAAAATTAATTTATGTTCTCTTTACAATTAATATTAAATTAAAAATTGCTTTGAAAAAGGAGGAATTTAGGATAATATTGTAAAGGATAAAATATAAATGCAATATTTATATTTTATTGAAATGTTTTTTGTTTTAAAAATTAATTTTAGAATATAAGATAACAAAAGAGATAATGAAATTTAAGAAACAAACACACGTTTTAATCGAAGAATTTATTAGAGTTAAAATGATATGAAAAAAATTTTCTAGTTAAATTTTAAAAATTGAAGAGTTAAAAATATAAAAAACTACCCTTCCTTTTTTTTTATTGTTTCTTATTGAATTAAAAACGAATAAGTTTTGTTATCTACTCCTTTTTTTTTGCAATTTTATTAAGTTTTAAGTAAGATGTGAAACATGTTCAAATTATTTTAAAACTTACTAATTTCTGGACGCTTATAATTTAATTACGTAAACATAATATTCAACTAGATACCTATTTTAATTATTATTAATAATTTAAGTTTAAGCGTTGAGAAACTTTAAGAATTTTGGAGATTTGTTTTATGAATTATTCAAAACTTAATTTTTAAATTTACTCTCATTTTATATTGAAAAGAAACAACGTATGTAATATTGCTAAACGCACAATAAGTTTTTCAGGGCAACATTAAAGTTGAAATTATCACATTAATACAAAAGGATAAATCAATGTCAAATAAGTTTCAAGAATATTTCCTGAAAAGTTTATAAAACAAACAGTAAAAAATTCTCCAAAACGTTTTCTTGGGTCTCGATTGTTGTTTGCGTCAAATTTAATTTAAATTTTTTTTTTTTATATTATTAGGTGAAAGAAATAATAAAAATAAACCATGTTTTTTGTATACTTTAAATAATTTCTTTTTTGATCATTTTCATTGAAATTGTTTATATTTTATTTAATATAATTATTATAGTTAATATGTTAATTCATTTAAATTATTAAAATTATATATGAATTTTATTATCTTTGTTTTATAATATTTTGTTTTGTTCTTAAAATGCTAGTGAAATCATTAAACTATAATTTTTCTTCATTCTATTCATAGTTGATTTAGAAAATTAGTAAGATTTCCAAAATTAATTATAATGAGTTTTTTTTTTAAGTCAGTGGTTTAATATTCGTACTAGTATTTTTGTCTTATACTTGTTTTGTACCAAATTTATATGAAAAAAAAAAATTAACATAAATTTTTAATAGATATTATTATTATTAATAGTATTAAAATCTTCATAAAATTAATCGGAGAAGAATACAAAAAGTTATAAAAAAATAAAGTTATATAATTAAAATTCGACAAAAATAAATAATTAATCGTGCAATTTAAATTTAATTCACAATGAAAAAGACAAAAAAGTAAATTCTATTGAAATGAAATAAATAATTATTATAAAAAAAAAAGAAATATAGCTATTATAAAATTAATGTTAATTGAATAATAACAATTATTAAAGAATATAGTAAAAGTGAAATATTATCTACCTAATTATTATATACAACAATTAAATATTACACTACTAATATAGTTTTCATTCTTCTTTAACAAATAAAAAAATTGAAATTAATTTGTATATTATTTAAAGAAAAAAAAACTCTTGTAGTATCTAAATAACGTGAAAACTAAAACATAAATAATATATTTAATGTAAGTTAAATATAAATTTAGAAATGAAAAAAAAATTATTGTAATATTATAATTACACAAACCATTATTATAAAATATTAAAAATTACTTTACAACATTAAATCAATATTATATGTAATAAAAATCTTTTGTTTCATTTTATTTTACAAATTTTGAATCAATTTCATTTTTTAGTGAGAAGTTTTTTTATTTAATTCCAAAGATTTTCCGTTTTTTATTTTTATTCAATTAAATTTATCTACCATTCTAAGTGCACTAATTAAAATAATAATAACAATAGAATTTTTCTTAAAATCGTTTACAAAATTCAATAATTCATTTTTCATCAAAATTCAATAATGCATTGAACATTTACAAAAAAAAAATTATTAAGACTCCAAAATATCAGAACACATTTTCATTAAAACATTACCAAAAATAATATGAAAATATAAGGAAAAAAAATTAAAATATACAATGAATTTTATTGATAAAATAAAATTATTGGCAAAAATTTTTGAATTTCCAAAATCACAAAAGCCAACAAAAAACTAATTAAAAATACTGTATGAAGAATCAGTTTAAATTTTACTTAAGTAATTCACTAAATTAAATTCATCGAAATTTATAAAAAACCTAAACATTTCATATTCCACAGACATCTTTTTGATAAAACTGTACAAATTTTTTGAAAATTCTATTATAAAATAAAAGTGAACATAAAAATTTAAAATAAGCTTACAAAAACATAATTAAACAAAAGAGATGAATACTAAATAAAGATCATAAAAAAAAAACTTAAAATAATGCAGCTAATAGCGCTATCATCATCAATATTAAAAATATCAGAAAATTACACGTTTTAAAAATAAAATTTGAATAAAAATTTTTTTATTTTTTTCAAAAAAATTTGGCGTTCTTTTCGCAGAGAATCAAATAATCAATAAGTCATGTTTTGTTAAATGCAGAATGCACATACGGAACAATCTTCAGTTAATAAGGAATTGCTGCAGTCATGATCCTGTAATATTAGTTTTTTTATTATATTTTCACATTATAATTTTATAGTATTAAATAAAATAAAATTTTATGATAAATAATTGTATTATAATTACAACGAAATATTTAAAATTGTAAATAAATTTAAACATATTTATATTAAATTCAAATTAAATTATAATGAACATAATTTTACGATAAGAAGCAAATATATTAGCCTAAAATTTTTTAAAATCAATATATTATTAATTAAAAAATTATATTAAATAACAATTCTATCCTGCCAAAACTGAAAAGAACAAAATGAAAAACAAAACAATTTAAATACAAATTAATATTTTATATAAAAAAGAAAGAAAAATTTTTATTTAATTATTCCCTCCTTCCTTTCTTACCCTTTTTCTAATTATCCTTACATAAAATTAATTAAATTTGTAATAATTATTGTATCTCGATATTTTGTTTATATATTTTTCCTTTTTAACATTTTTTAAATTTAAATTTTTGTCTAAAATTATATTTAAATATGAATAATGTACACTAGACATTCAAAAAAAAAAACTTTTAGAAGAACATTTACTAAGGCTTTAAAAAAATTCAAATAAAAATTGTTTAATATAATATTCTTAAATATAAAAAAAAAAAGAAATATTACTCACAAATCAAAGTACTAAATTTTAAAATCATTATTAAAAATTGGAAAGTTCATTTCATTAGAAAAATATTTAGAATTTCACCGGATTTTACTACAAAAGGGAAGTGAAAATATTCAATTATTATTAGAAACAAATTTACAAAAAAAAAAAAACAAAAATAAAAAAATATAAAAAATTAATATGTAATACATCTATTTAATATATCAGCCTAAATAATTAAAATAATTAAAATTAATTAAAAACGAATGTATTATTCAAAAATTATAAAAATAATTTTCAAAAAAAAAAAGAAAAAGACTTTTAATCAAAGAACCTTATAGAAATGTTGCTTTCAATATAATAAAATATTAAATATACAAATATATATATATATTTATATATGTATTATAATTTGTAATAGAATTTCTATACGAAATTATTTATCTGTTACTACATTAATTTTTTAATCTAGAATCCAAGAAAATGAACTGAAATGCATTCTTATAATAAATTTAACAAAGAATTTAACATTTTGACTTGGAAATACTCGTAATAATAACAAAATATTATGGTTAACTTTGAAAAAACAATACTAACGCTCTTAAGGAATTTTTTTTTTTTGAAAAATAATTGTCCTCAAAATATTAAATGGAATTCTAAAAATACAATATTGTAAAAAAATAAACAAGCCTATGAAATTTTTTTAAAAATAATTTTATAGCTAAATTAAATATTAGAATTACAGTCAAAACTGTTTTAAATATCGTTCATTAAATTTTTTTGTCAGCAATAAAGACTCAAATTTTATTCTCAAGACGTAATCTTCACATCTTCATTTAATTATATTAAAGAAACTTCAAATTACAATATTTTACAGTGGAAAAATTTTTAAGTAAAAAAATTTTATTAGGTTTCAAAGTAAAAACAAAAACAAAATTCACAGAGTCTTAACTTGTCACAAATTATTAAAAAATTATGTGTGAAATTTTAAATGTGATTCACTGAATAATAAATTTAATTTTGAAATTTTTAATTGAATCTTGGCATATATACAAAAACTAAGTGTAATATACATACTTAATTATAATATCGAAGAAATACTCTATCATTTGTAATATTAAAATTTTTAATAAGTGTACCAAAAATAACATCCATACTTTTTATTTTCTTGCAATATCGCAATATTTTTCGTATATAGATAAATATAAATTTTTTTATACAATTTCTAATGTAATTAAAAGCGTATAATATGTACTTATGTAAAAATCGATAATACTATAAAATTTTAATAATAAAATTTACAACAATTACAAGAAAAAAAATATGTAACAGGCTAAGAACACAACAAAAAAATAAATAAAAACGAATTAAGATAAAATTTAAAAATACACCTACGAATTTTAAAGTGTTTATCTTTTAAAAAAAAAAAAATCACGATTAGATTTCAATTTCATATAAAAAATTTATTACAGTAGATATACGATAAATATTATCACACAAGATTTTCATAAAATAATTAATATGATAAAGAAAAAAAATTCAACAAAGTTAATTCATTAAAATCCATTTAAAGTTAAATTAATTTTCAAGAACAAAAAATGCGTTTTAATTAGTCTTTTATTCAGCCTTATCATGAATTATCATGAATTCTGAATTTCAGAGCTATGAACGAAATTCATGATGGGGCCACTTGTTTTTATATCCATTACATCTATCATAACGTTTGAACATAACGTTTTAGAAATGATTTATCACGAAAGTCAAGATTAGTTTAAAAATCTAATTTAAATGAAAAAGTTTTTATTGTTATTTAAAATTATTTAGGTGCTTTAACTAGTTATGCAATTTAAATATTTGAAATTTTTTTACTTATACACTCTTATTATGATGGGCGAAGCGAATGGTTAGGCGAATCGAATGACATTTTAAATTATGATCGGCGAAAGCTTTCATTCGCCAGATCCAAAATGTTGCTACTGCAAGACTTCAAGAAAACCTACCAAAAATAATAAAGTTAACACCACACATAATATGTACATTATTTTTGCTTTTTTGCAATTCAGTTTTCGGCTTTTAGCAATGTCGGCGTTGTTCTCCATTAATTTAATTAAATGTTCGAATTGCCTTTTGTTCGTTTTTTCACGCTTAAATTAATACTTAACAATCAAAATTTTTTACAATAATTTGTTAAATTTTATGAACTTACTTTAGATTTTTAGATAGTTTAGATTTTTCCATTATATCACTATAAATGCTATAATATCAAATAAAAAACAACACTTTTCCATTAATTTTGATTTTTGGTTTCATTCGCCAAGTTTTTCACACAGAATTTTTATTCGACAGATTTGACAGTTCATTCGCCTAAAATTCAGGCGAATTCGCTAATCATAATACCAAAAATTCATATTCGCCAAAAATTCTATTCGCTTTGCCGATCATAATAAGGGCCTTATTTTGTTTTTTTGATATAGAACTTCTCTAACTATGGTCTGCTGTCTATTTGCCTTGACTTTCAATTAAAAATATGGAACTCTTTTTTTTTAACATACATAACTTTTTAGATATGTATTAGTTTTTGAAATTCTTGTTTTACATTTCTTCTTTTTATACATTTATAATGTACTAAAATCAGAAATTTTGCTGCTCTTTAGGAAAAGCCCTTTGCATTCAATCAATTGCATTTTTTCACTACAAAGATGTTGCTTTAATAAATATCATGAATTTTTATAAGAAATGGTGGTTTTGTATACTCAAGTTTAACTAGATTGAAATTACTGAAGTTTGTTTTGTAAACCAAAATGAAAGTTAAAAATTGTAAGGTATACTATTAAAAAGAGTAAAACGCTTTCTCAGCCTCACTTGACACCACAATGAAAAGTTTGTAGCTCTAAACTTAGATTTTATGAGAAAAGTATTTTCTTTTTTTTTTTGCTATTTAAAAAATTATAAACGCACTAAATTTAAGGAATTGCTAATGAAATTTTTAAATTACAAAATATAAGAATTAGGAATAGCAATTATAGAACATTGATTAAATTTAAGAAAAAAGGAGGAATAAAGCTACATGACCGAGTTCACTTAATTTCTTTCAATTAATTTAAAATATTCGGTAATCAACAATTCTTTCCAAAGAATTACTTATTTAATTATCAGGTTTTAAAGTAATTGAGTCATTTTACAATTTACTTTTATAAATAAAACACAAATAATAAAAACAGAACTCTTAACAATATTTCG